GGTGGAGGGCACACCTTGGCGCTGCCCTACGGAGGGACAAGGTCCAGCCCACTACTTCTGACCGGTCCTTGATCCCGTGTACCTCGAACAGCTTCACTAAAAACTTTATGTAACACTGATGCACAACAAATGGACTCTTCATGGTCTGCTAGCCGGCCCAACACACAAATTTCAGCAGCAGCAGCAGGATCGAGCCTTGGGGGGACACGATAAAACCATCTCCTTCGTGAGAAAACGTGTGTGAATCGCCACAAAAACCTAACCTTTTGACGAATACTCTTGTGTATCATGACTAGCGTGATGCTTCCTCACACACAGCCGATCTCACAAGACTGTCACAAACAACAACATCAATCTGTTAACTTGCTTGTATAAATCTTATTTTTTTCCAGGACTTTGCCTCATAAAGTGCCTCTTCACACACGATACCTGGAACTGTAGTCGATACACGCACTGTAACAAGAGTTTACAGGTGTCATAAGACTTCACACATAACATTTGTAACAAACGAACACACATGACATGCGTAACAATACTTGTCACAACAGAAGTATGGAATAGACCACCTCTCTCGTAACTGATAACTCAACAGGGGAAAAATGAGTCCAGAAAAATGCTTCAAAACTCCATAAGGACTCCCTGTTCAGTAGCTTCAGAAGATACGTTGAAAAAATGGTTTGCCCGGAAAGCGATAAAAGAGGATTAGTTTGTGGTTTTCGAATATAGATGGAATTACCAACAAAAGTGAAGTCATGAAAGAGAGAGCAGAAGAAAGCGCTGATATAGCAGCTATAATGGAAATAAATGTCTCCGGAACACTAAGAAAATGCATTATTTTCAAAGGAATACCAGATAAGGAAAGAAAGGGATAGAGGAGGAGGAGGAGGAGGAGGAAGAAGAAGAGGAGGAGGAAAAGGTGAAGTGAATTCCAGAAGCAACCAGAGAATTAAAGAACTAGAAAGACCTACAAATATGGAATTTCGTGGTTTACATATCAAATACTGTAATGTCTTCACAGATAAAATTAATAATAGCAATAACATATTCATAACAAACGAACAGGAGGCCAAGAGGAGAGGAGGGTTCAGGCATCTCATAGCTCGATCGATAGCGCACTAAGTTCACACACTGAGGCCTGGGGATTGATCCCACGGCACGGGTGAAAATATTAGGACGTGTTTCTATAAAATACCTGCTGTCCCTGTTCACCCATCAGTATAATGGGTACCTGGGTGATAGTCTACTGGTGTGGGTCGCATCCTGACACAAAACTGACCTAATTTCCCGAAATGCTCTTCATATCAAGCGGCTTTCTATATAGTAGTATATCATTGATGTCAGCTATGGTCTGTATACCTTGTACATGTACTTGTAGACTTAAAGATATTATTATATTATTAATTGCAATAATGTGTCTGATTCGCATACCGAAAACAGTGGCAGAGTAAGAAGACTCAAAGTTGGTTCTGTGGCACTCGGAGTTATCATCCACAGCAAGACTGACTGTGAGGACCCGGACCTTCAAGAAAAACCAGAAACGTGGAGAGCAAAACTGACCGAGCCAAAACATAAAGGAAACTGGTGATCCCATAACAGCCAGTCAGGTGGTACCATAACAGTCAGGCTAGGAATACCATAACAGCCAGGCTAGTGGTACCATCACAGCCAATCTAGTAGTACCACAACGGCTAGGCTAATGGTACCATAACAGCCAAGCTAATCGTTCCATAACAGCCAGGCTGCTGGTACCATAACAGCCAAGCTAGTGGTACCATAACAGCCAAGCTGGTGGTACCATAACAGCCAGACTGGTGGTACCATAACAACCAAGCTAGCGATACCATCACAGCCAGTATAGTGGTACCATAACAACCAAGCTAGTGATACCATCACAGCCAGGCTGGTGGTATCACAGCCAGGCTAATGATACCATAACAGCCAGGCTAATGGCACCATAACAGCCAAGCTAGTGGTACCATAACAACCAAGGTAGTGGAACCATAACATTCACTACAATGGTTCCAAAAAAGCCAGGTTAGTGGTACCATCACAGTCAAGCTAGTGGTACTAAAACAGCCAGGCTAGTGTTCCAATAACAGCCAGGGTGGCGGTACCATCACAGCCAGGCTAGTGGTACTATCACAGCACGGTACAGAGTACAATACATCTGAGACCCTGCCTGCAGGTGGCTGGAGGATCTTCACACAGCCTCCCACGACGTACTGATAATGTCGCCTTTCAACTGTTATACCGTTGCTTTAGTTGCTTCTTGCTTTGACTGAGGCTAAACTAAGAAAATGGTTAATAAATGAGCGTTATTGATTATATTATGTGAACGCGTTATGCAAAGACATCAGCGTTTCTTGTTTACGTCAGTTTCTTGTTTATATCAGCGTTTCTTGTTTATACCGATGTTACGCAAGTTTGTATAAAAAAATGAGACTGGAACAGAACTCTTCTCCAGGCTGAGGGACTGACTACCTTAAAACTACGTTCTCGAGGGTGATGGACTGATTACATCGTCTTTACTGTTTGTCCGAAACGTTTCGGAATAAAGATAACCAACAGTCGCACATGTGTCTAATTTATGATAACTTAGGACCCCAATGGAAATAAGTCAGTCTGACTTTTTTGGTTTTTTTGGATCCTAACCAAATATTTTTTGCACTCACAGTGGGTTACGTACTTAGCGTATGGTAATACCAGGCGCCTAGTTGCAGGGGCGGATCTTCTGTGAAACTAACGAAGCTTAAGCCTCAGTGGGCCCTAATTCCGATGGGGCCCCGAAGGCGACTTTAGTCCATATTGCTTAAAAATTTTGAGTCTACTGTATGAGAAGTGTTTTTTTTTTTAAATATAATTGATAATATAGTGTAATTCAGTAAAAAAGTCAAAATGAAGATTAAAATAAATAAAAATTAAAAGTATCATATAGACTAGCTGTTGCGAAGGGGCCCCTTAACAATTCAAGCTTCAGGGCCCCAAAAATGTAGGTCCGCTACTGCCTGGTTGTGTTGTACCGCTGGGGCAGGTTCTTGACTCCTTGCTCACTGAGGATATTACCGCTCCAGTCAAGGTCAAGTCATCTCTCTTTCCGATGTCTGGTTTAGACCAAGACACAGCCAAGACACAGACAAGACACAGCCAGGACACAGCCAGGACACAGCCAGGACACAGCCAGGACACAGCCAGGACACAGCCAGGACACAGGACACAGCCAGGACACAGCCAGGACACAACCAAGACACAGCAGGACACAGCCAGCACACAGACGAGGCACAGCTGCCTGCTTGTCAAGTTTTGCCAGCGGAGAAAGTGAACAATGAAAATGAGTTATCGAGAAGATAGCATCACAGGCAGGCAATGGAGATGCTGGCGTACCCGACCGGCCAGTGAACGGGCAGAATTAGCAGCCGGAGGATTGAAGTCACACTTTATAGCTCCTTAAGTCGAAAGTCTTTCCAGTGGGGTTGCCCTGGTGCTGATATAGAGATTTTTATCCAAGGAATTAGAGCTGTTCTTCTCTTCGGATTAAGCCTGATTACTCCTACCCTTTCCAGTGATAACAAGTGCCGAATAACCCGTTTAGAGTTTCCCCTGTGTGTGCGTACGTGTGTATGCATAGTATGTGTGTGTGTGTTAGTGTGTGTATGAATGTAATTAATTATTTGTAGCCGCATTAACAGAGTTATCCACGTTGTGTTTAGCCTTCAGTACTCTCTTCATGCCGAATAGGTAAAATTGGTCAATTAGAAAGAACTCATTTAAAATTAAGTCCTTTCTAAAAAATTATATTATACATTTAAAGGTATATTTTTTTCATTAACTAGGGATCCCAGGGCAGCTAGTTTTCTGTTCCAGCGGCTCAGTGCGGCTGTTCAAAGGGGTAATGCCTGCTGTATTTTGGGCACACGCCCCAGCTCTGAGGAGCTGGATGAGATTTTTGCCTTATAATCGGTGATACACACGTAACAACATGTACCTTATATGCCACCTTTATATCAACAATGTATCTCTTAAATCTTCTGTACCATATTATGTAATAAAATATTCCTATTGGTAAAAAAAAAAATATGAAAAGATGGGGGTGGCAGGGGAAGTGGAATATTCAAACGGCTTCAGGAAGAAATCCAAATATTCTTCCTTGAAGCCTTTTTATCCACTTCTCCGAGGCTGTGGGTCCCACAGTTTACACCAGAGGTGAACCCCATTATATTTATATATATATATATATATATATATATATATATATATATATATATATATATATATGCAGGGAATTCGCAAGAGCAGGCGAAATATACACAACACTGATCTCTGGCTGAAGGAGACTCGAACCTACGAACCTTGGAACAAGGTACGCAGTGCTTTACCAATCTACCACACTGGACCAATACCTTGGAGTCCAGCTTGCGCTAGACTTTGATCCAAGGCAGCCAGCTTTCAGGGAGAAGGCTTACAGCTTTTCATCTCATCCCCTGCATGCATCAGCCTTACAGTGTGGGTAGATTGGTAAAGCACTGCGTACCTTGTTCCAAGGTTCGTAGTTTCGAGTCTCCTTCAGCCAGAGATCAGTGTTTGTGTATATTTCGCCTGCTCTTGCGAATTTCTTGCATTGTTAATATCTCTAGTAAGGCTGAAGCATGCAGGGGGTGAGATGAAAAGCTGTAAGCCTTCTCCCTGAAAGCTGTCTGCCTTGGATCAAAGTCTAGCGCAAGCTGGACTCCAAGGTATTGGTCCAGTGTGCGTAGATTGGTAAAAGCACTGCGTACCTTGTTCCAAGGTTCGTAGGTTCGAATCTCCTTCAGCCAGATATCAGTGTTATATATATAATATATATATATATATATATATATATAATATATATATATATATATATATATATATATATATATAAATATTAAGCTTATTTTTGTAAAAACTGCATTGAATGGGTCAGCCTGGAGGTCAAATGTAGAGTTAGCGTAGTATTAAAATGGTAATCTTTCCCTGGCTTGCAGAATGTTCCCTGGCGGACTTCGTCAGCAGCTCTGGCTCAGAGAAGATTCCTTACGTGTACATGCCGCTCAAACACCAACTGGTCCACCCAACAGCCGAAGTCGCACTTTTGGGTAAGTTTCAAGGACAACCTGTCATTTTAAGGTTTCTGGTTCCGGGAGTTATCAGCTACTTGGCCTGGTTTCGGACCAAGCCTCCTGGCTAGCTGGAAGACAAGAAAAGGCCGACGAGTTTGGTAATACCAAGACACTGCAAATAAGTGTCTTTGTATTAGGCTTCTTGGTACGTGGTCTAACCAGTCAGGCTATTGTTGCTAGCAACACACATTCTGGCTGACAAGAGATTGTCCATCGAAACCGTCAAATGTCTTGTTGAAGTCAATAATTCATCTTATTAGTATTATATACCACTGATATATACTCTTAATATATCAGAACGTCAGTCAGTATGTAAGAACGTCAGTCAGTACGTCAGGACGTCAGTCAATATGTCAGAAACTCAGTCAATATGACATTCATAAAGCTGAATAAAGTTCTGAGATCCAGTAAGAAATAGCTTTCTGGTTCTAATATCACAATTGCCATTTGCCAGACAGTTGTAGACATGACACTACAGTAGGATGGGAAAGAGAGCCATTATCCCCCTCATCTTTACTCATACATGGCATACAGGGGATAGTGGTTATATTGACTACTGGATCATGTAGACATCCCAAGATCTCAAGACAGGGGGAAAGAGTTATACAATAACTAGAATACTTTGAGAACTGTGAATAAAATAGTCCCACAACATAACCAGTTCAGATTATTACTGTCATTTATTCATCGTCTGTTTTTTTTTTAGTCTTTTTTTTTATACTGAAAATTTTCTTTATTAATAATGATTATTGCCTCATTTTGACTTCTGTAAAAAATCTTTGGCTTATTGCATCATCACTTTCTCCCACTCTAGCCAATCTTACTTTCAACAATTGCTCATATCTCTAATAACAACTCTTGGCTTTCCTTTTTACCTACTGGTTTGAATCTCTTTGTATCCAATTTTTTTCCTTACTCTAGCTGGATTTGATCTACATATCGGTTGATCCTCTGAACATGTACGTATATAGTATATTGCTACAATTTTTAGCTTCCTTTCATTCCCACCATAAATAATAAGTTTTTCTTAACAGCTCTACTACATTTATACATATTTAAACACTATATCCATTTGCATCTGTTCACATTCAGACATGTATACTACATTCATACACATACAAGCATCTATAAAATAAACACTGAAATGTCTACATTACATTCATACCTATTCACACAACTCAAAGGTAAATGTAAATACCACGTATTTTTGCATGTAACTTTCAGCAGTAATGGAGGAAAAATGTCGATAACTGAAAAACAGAGAAATAAGTAATCAAAAGTATTTACAATGTTGCAGGACTGGCGCACGGGGGATCACCCCTCATGTCACCTGTGTGTGTGGTGACGAAGGGAAGTATCCTCACCCAGGACGGCTGGGAGAACATGGCCAACACCTCAACCTTCGAGCCTCCGTTCAGGTAGGTTATGTTTTTGAGATCCCTTCAGGCAGGTCACGTAAACAAGCCTCCCTTCAAGAAGGTAGGTCTTCGAGCTCCTTTTCAGGTAAGTTAAGTTTTCGAGGGTTCCTGCAGACGTCTCTCAAAGTTCCCTTCAAGTGGGTGATGTCTCTCAAGGCTCCCTTGAAATAGGTGATGTCTCTCAAGGCTCATTCAAGTAGATGACGCCTCTCAAGGCTCCCTTCAAGTAGGTGATGTCCCTCAAGGCTCTTTCAAGGTGACATCTCTCAAGGCTCCCTTCAAGTGATGTCTCTCAAGGTTCCCTTCAAATAGTTGACGTCTCTCAAGGCTTCCTCAAGTAGGTGTCGTCACTTGAGTGCTACGATGTAGCAAACATTAGTACCCATGCAGTCGGGACGACCTAACTTATACCTGTCTTCACGACAGTGACACATAATGAAGTGGAATGCAGCCAAGCTGGTTATCCTTGAAAGCGATTTATTTAGTCAAAAGTACAGTACTTGGAAGCGGCCATGATAGCAGTTTCCAACACAGAGGAGCACTGAAGGCGTATGCAGCCTCACTTACACCTATGTCTCCTCTTCCCACACCTTGTAATATATATATAATATATATATATATATGAGAGAGAGAGAAGACTTGTGTCAGATGGATTCCAAGAAAAGTCTCTAGACGTTTCCTTGATGACACTATACTTTTCGACGGAAATGCATCATGTACATCACAGATGAATATTTTTCATTTACCTGTCATATGACTGTATGCCTTTCTGTATTACTTTATCACTGCCCTTGTCACCACATATTTCTAAACTTTTCGACTGTATCATTGTACCTATGTATGTCTCAGCGTACTGTATAACCCCACAAGTGTTCCGTCACACAGACTGTTCCGGGACGGCGGGCGGACGTACGTGCAGTGGGTGGGAGAGGAAGTAGCAAGAGTGTCGGCGGAGGGTCGTCTGGTGCTGGTTACTCTCATCTGCCGGGACGCTGCCCAGCCCAACACTCCAGTCTTCCGTCCCTGCCTCGCCTTCAGGGTTGCAGGTAGTCCTGGTGAGATAACACAGCCTACTAAGTGCTTTAAGACATGTGGCTTTTTCATTCATAGCACCAGAAAAAATACTATCAATTATTTTGATGTAAGATCGTAGTTAAATTTTGGAAATTTCTACTGATATTTAGTAGACATTTAAGTTTAATGTCTGTTTCTTAATAGAACTTATTCCTGTATCGTTTTCTCTGTTACGGACACAACGGCTTAGCTGACTCATTTTCTGAATAATTACTGGAAAGGGAAGGAGGAGGGAGGGGGGGGGGAATATGTGCTCATTCTTATGGTAAAATAACATTATATTCGAATTTTTAACCCGGAGGATTAACCTCCCAGGATAATTCAACACAGGATAATTCTCAACAGTCAACACCTAGGTACCTACTTACTGCTACGTGAACAGGAGCAGAAGGTGTATGGAAACATGCTCAACGTTTCACCCGTGCCGAAATCGATCCCCGGGCCCTGAATGTGTTCCCTGGAGGTTATTCCGGGGATCAACGCCCCCGCGGCCCGGTCCATGACCAGGCCTCCCGATGGATCAGGGCCTGATCAACTAGGCTGTTACTGCTGGCCGCACGCAGTCCAACGTACGAGCCACAGCCAGGCTGATCCGGCACTGACTTTAGGTATCTGTCCAGCTCTCTCTTGAAGGCAGCCAGGGGTTTATTGGCAATTCCCCTAATGCTTGATGGGAGGCTGTTGAACAGTCTTGGGCCCCGGACACTTATGGTGTTTTCCCTTAGTGTACCAGTGGCGCCCCTACTTTTAATTGGGGGCATTTCGCATCGCCTGCCCAGTCTTTTACTTTCGTGGGGAGTGATTTCTGTGTGCAGATTTGGGACCATTCCTTCCAGGATTTTCCAAGTGTAGATTATGATATATCTCTCCCTCCTGCGTTCCAACGAGTACAAGTCAAGTGCTTGCAAGCGTGTGTGAGCTGACAACTCTTATCGACTGAGTCATAAACATTCTACCTTGGTGGAAAACGAACAATTCGTTTGATCACTTTCGTGGGATCAACAAAACATGTCTAAATTCAACTGGTAAAAAAGAACACAGAGCACTTAATGACAAGAGAAAGTAAAGTACATACACTCTGCGTGGGAACTTTACAAGAGGTGACGTGACTATGCTTAATGAAGCATGACAAATCATTAGGATTAACTTGAAGCTTCATTATTAACGGGGTTATTTCTTTCTCAGAACAGTCATCCACAGTTTGATAAACCAACCATTTCCTTTCCCGACGAACAATATTTAAAAACTATCCAGCATATAGATTTTCCAAGTTAGTTTGTATTTGGGGATTCACTGGTTGTGAATAAGTGATTGTAGAAAGGGAAAATACATTTGGCATTAATGGGAACTAAATTTTGATTAAAACCCTCGCTGACTGACACTCCACAATATAGATTAGGTAAGATTCGTCAGAAAACAGGACAACTGCTTACTGACCCACTACTGGAAGTTTTGGTCATCTGACCGAAGCCTTTCACTGGCTTACCAGTCCTCCTCTTTGAAAATTAATATTTGTAATCTTAGGTTAGGTTAGGTTAGGTAAGGTTCGTCAGGAAACAGGACAAATGTTTCCTGACGCGGGTCTTAGTCAGATGATGACCCGCCTTTGGAGCTTTTGGTCATCTGACCGAGGCCTTCCGCTGGCTTACCGGTCCACCCCTTTAAAAATTATGGTCATTTATAACCATTAATTATGTGTAATCTTAGGAAAAGAATAAAATGACCCGAGTTTGTGAGATAAAGACACGATACACAAATAACCCGCACACAGAAAAGAGGAGCTTACGACGACCATTTACAGTGTGACTTTGTAAATGGTCCAAGTCGGACCGAAACGTCGTCGTAAGCTCCTCTCTTCTATGTGCGGGTTATTTGTGTATCGTTCCGGTCACGGTATTGTGCCTTTTTTTTTGCTATAAAGACACGAAATACAGAACTCTTGGTCGGTAGTTATAGCATATTTATGCCTTTTTGTCTGACGTCAAGAATTTCATCAGGTTGTCCTTTGTAAAACGTATTACACAATTTACAAGAATTTTGTAAAAAAATTTAAATATTCTTTCAAGGATCACTTATTTTTACATATTGTGTTTTCTGTATCACTGATTCCTTAGTTTATGTGACAAACTGAACTATTAATTTTTAACTTTAGTTACAAGTTATTATGTAATATGTATCAAAAAATATTACAAAACTATAATAACAGAATCATATTCAATTAAATTCAATTAGATAGAGTAACTTAAAATTTTAAACCACGAAAAAGTACGGTATCTGCACTTGTGGAATAAGTCATAATACCGTTGCTGGTACAACCGAGGGACCTGTTACCCTTTTTCACCTAGTAGTAAGTAGGTACCTGGGTGTGAACCGAATGTTTTGGGGTTGCATCATGAGGGAGAAGATTCAAAAGACCCCAAGAAACATAAACCAATCTGATGACAGTGCCTTCGTTGGGTTATTCTAGGTTACTTTAAATCACCGAGTTAACAATACGAATGAAATCTTCTTCAGTTCATTCTTCCGGGACCATATTCTAGTTTACATTTCTAGTATGTCATTGAGTTGTGAATCTGTACTACTTCCTAACCTTAGCTATTTTTTGTATATTTCTAAGTATTTTAGGAGAGTGAATGGACATTAAATCTTCTTCCTTCAACAGGAGTCTCTGAGGCGGCTCTGTTCGCTCCTGTTCGTACAGGAAGTAGCGATGAAGGACTCTCCTCAGGGGAAGGAATTATCATCGGACTGGTGGTGACCTGCCTCGCTATCATGTACGTGGTCGGCATGACCATCTACATCAAGCTCAAGCGAAGGAAGAAAAGAGAAAGAAACTTGTAAGTTGGCGCAGCTCACCTTGTTCATACATTGCTGGTGCTATACCAACTAATTAATGATTTTGTTTTATACATGAATTTGATATCGTAGTTTCGTTTATGATACAAAATAACTACAGAGACAGCTGTGAAAAATGCCTAAGACATTTGATGTAATTAAAGGTCTTTAGTTTCTTATACATAAATGTCTCCCATTAGAATAGACTTGACACAAGAGATTTGAGTTCTGGAGATAGGAAGTACAGTGTCTGCACTCTGAAGGAGGGGTGTCAATGTTGCAGTTTTATAAATGAAGCGTAAAGCGCGTCCCTGGCAAGACAGTGATGGAGTGAATGATGGTGAAAGTTTTCTTTTTCGGGCCACCCTGCCTTGGTGGGAAACAGCCAATGTGTTAATAAAAAAAATAAGTTTGAACATTAGAAAAATCAGTGTTCCACACAAAACTTTCCTTATTAAAACTGGTAGATAGAAAACAAGGAGGAGGCAGTTCAAGATTATGCAATAGAAATCCAGACAACATACGGTATCGTTGATTCAGAGACAGAAGTGTACTGGTTTGCAACAAGAGACACTCAGACAATGATTACGAAGTACATACTTGACTATCTGCTCCGTCAACTCCTGATGCCCTACTAATGACGAGTAATTCGAATCAGAAATGAGAGAAAAAATGAAAACAAGTTTTTTTTTTGGTAATGAGGTACTGTATATCTGACGGAATGTTTTAATGCCCATACATCGTCTTTTTTCTCTTATGACCTTCTGTTGCGTGCTTACCTTTTACCACTTCCCTAACTTCTTCAGGGCTAAGCTGTCTGAGGAAGGCTTGAGAAAATCTAAAGGTCACAGAGGAAGAGATAAGCGACCTCCTCACCCCACGCCCAAGCCATCCCTTGTGTCTTCCAGCGACGAACTCGATGAGGACATTGAAGACCTCTCCTACGCTTCCAGGACTCGTAGGGCCGAGAGGGTGAGTCAACATGAAGCTCTCTGTGGTCTGGTGTGATTGTCATCAATAAGCCTCTCTTCGATGTGTTTTCCTATATATTATAAGCAATGGTATATTTAATCTGTCATTCTGTTAGTTTGTTCTACTTAAGCATTTTCCGTGTCCATTAGTCTGTAAATGTGTAAAATTGTTTCTTAAAATGTCAACTAAATAATCACTTCTCATTAACAAACACTTTATATATTTAATAAACATCATATTAGGAATATGAATACGAAATTTTACTTTCAAATACGATACCTATTGTACCCAGTTCTGACCAATAAAATCCTACAGCAGTTGTACTTTCTTTCCCTCCTGTAATGTCTTTTCATCCTGTAGTTTCTTTCCATCCTGACCTTGCAACAACTTCATCAAAAGCCTTCTCTTGATACTTGTCTGACAACAGCAACACCGTGGTATCCTGGTATAAGACAATTTGCAGTTCCTTTGCATGACCTACTTCCACTAGTACACCACGCTCACCTGTGACCTCACCTTCACCTGCTAAACCTCACTTCTGCTACAGTACATAATCTGTGGGGGAATGCCTCTCCACAGACGTGTAGAATACATGAGAAGGGAGAGTATATATACAGGTACATACAAAGAAAGGTGAGGTGCACGGAAGTGTTTATGGGCGAGGGAGCACTGCAGGGTGTAGACCAGACTATAATGTTCACTCCTGCAAGGTTGGTAATCTGCAGTTGTGGTGTAAACTAATGGTTTAGAAAACGTGTAGCTGTCCCTTTTATGTGTAATAGTTCTAGAAAGACTGATTAGGGTAAATGCTAAACATTTCTCGTTGTCTCAACTTGGAACGTTATTTTTAATAAAGTTAACCACTGCATCTAGGTATTACTTCCTCCACCATTCTAATTGCAATAAAAAATCATAATATTTACCAAGAATAATAGATAATTATTGTCTTTCTTTCGATTATGGTTCAGGTATATTTATTGGCTATCACTTTTATAATAGTCTAACTTTACTTACAGGAGAAGGCTCACGTCAGCTTCACCACAGTAGTGGTTCACAACACAGGGACCAGAAGCTGCAGCAATTATGGGTCAGTTGGCCACGACGTCTCTGATGGTATAGAGAGAGCTCCCAGGTCCCCTCTGGCGGTAGTGGAGACACTCGGTAAGAAACAATTACTGAAAGATTTCTGTTTTTCCAAGATTAAAAACTGCTTCCATGGCAGTACTGAGAGACAAGGGAAGTATAAGCACGATACAGTGGATGGAATTACACACTGCTGGCAAATATAAAAACAAAGATACAAGTTGCAGAATAAGCATTTATTAGTGTAGTACTCTCTCCCTTTATAACTTGATAAACCTCCAGAATACAACACTACCGCTGGGTTTTCTCCTATTCATCTTCTCTGTACTGTGTTTTGAAGATAATTTATGATTTTTCGGGTTATCCCACATAAAATCTACTTATTTTGCCACCATTATATGCCTAGAAATATTCTTTTCTTTTAAGCATCAACTTCATGGATGTATAATAGTTTGTAAAAACCAAATGTATTAAAATTGAATAAAAGTAATTTTGTGTTATCTTAATGCCTACAAGTGGGTTATGACTGATAAGTTTAGTTCAAAGATTGATTTATTCAAGTCATTATTTTCTTGCGATTGTTTCACTGTTAGAGATCATAGGTTTAAGGTTTCTAACATGTATTATGCACTAGTTAGAGCTAAAAGAAGCTAGCTTCGTATTAAATATCTCAAGCTCTTGAGTCAGCCATGAGCTATGTCACAATGTATGAAGGGATTCACAATGACTGGAGGCAAAGGAAAGCTGAAGCTACCTATTGGCCAAGCGTTTTGAATTAGCTGTTCTTCATCAGGTGATGCTGGGCCAAGCGACAGCGGTGCGCGGGCCTTGGCAGTTTTAAGCCCTGAGGAAGGCACGGAAGCTGTCACGGGAGACGTGCAAGAAGCTCAAGCCAAGAGGAAACTCTACTTCAACCCGGCTTACTTCGAGCCTGAAATGCTGCAGGTGAGCACTCCCCAACACGTCAACACACTGAGGTGCTGATAAAGTTTTGATAAAAACTTATCTGTCTATCTGCTACTATCAGCTTCTATCTTCACACGAAGATCAAATTTTCCATTGCTTCTCTTTCCATATTAAACGTGTAAACATCTAATTCTCTTCCTTGTCCACAGTCTCCACCACCTGCCGCTCTGGAATTTCTCACTCGTATCAGAGAGATGATCAATATCGCTAAGAGTAAGATGAAGTCCAAGACTTATCAACCAAGTCTCGGCGACATTCCAGAGGAGGACTCAGAAGGACAATCACGTCCAATAAGCCGAGCTACTGGAAGGTCAAGTAGGATAACCCTCCCAGCAGATGACCTCGAGAAACACGATGAGGGAGGCATCAACCAGGGTGATGTCAACACCCAAAGCGACTCGCTAGAGCATTCACGTGATAGTGATAGCCGCAGTTCCACCCTCAGGAGACTTGCCAGGCGTGTCAACAGCCACGGTGAAAGCTTCGTTAGCGAAATCATCAAAACACTAGACTTAAAGCCTAAACTGCCAATTCCTGACAATGGTATTTACAATGCACATTCCCAGAAGGCTCCAGCCCCCAAGCCCCCACCGCCCAAGCCAGTTAATGCTCGAAATGATTCCCCGGTGGAGGCGGAAGAGGACTTCCCAGAACTGATCAAACCATCGATGCTGAGGAGTGTTTTAAGGGACGGTAAGAGACTGACAGAACTGAACAACACTTTCGAGAACTTCAGGCAGGAAATGATGGCAACATTCCACAGGATGAAGAAAGTTGGCGAAGCTATATCTCCCATGTCAACTCTTAGTAGAACAAAAAACAAAAACAAATCATCTCCAGCAAACACACTTGAAAAGAGGAAGTCTGAGTTTAGCAACAATGAAGGTAAAGTGCATAAGTGGTTACAGACTCTGGAGAACAAAAATTCTTATACCAGAATGTCTGAAAATCAAAATGTCATATTCGATTCTAAGACAGCAATGTCAGATGATATTCCACCACCATTACCTGAGAAATACACCAAGCCACCAACACCGCCTAGGAAACACAGAGCACTCGCATGTCGAAGCGTCTCATTCAACGAAATGAAGGAACCTTCCTCAGTTCTCTCTTCGGTTGGTAATACAAGCTGCAAGAATAGCAATGATGGAAGAACCAGACAAACATCAGGTAAGGTCCAAGTGACCAGATCATTGTCATGGCAGAGTGAGCACCGCCATTACGACTCAAACCCTAGACAACCCAGCCAACAAGCTTCTGCAGTCCCCGAAGAGGGCCTCAACACATCTTTTGGATCTGAAGATGACTCTCTTAATGATCTGCTCAGCGAGGCAGAATCAAAAGTACCTAAGATGACTCATAGCGATTCAGATAGCACATATTCAGACACTAGATCTAGATATAAAGATTCTTTAGAACCCGGAATCGATGACAACGAGATGAATTCAAAATCTCTGTCAAGGCAACTGCCTCGAGAAGAAGAAATAACTGCTAGAAATGAAGTATTTAATAAGAAAACTGGAACAAAGACAATGTCTTGCCTGATAAAGAATAGCGAGAGTCCCTACGAGAGAGCAAGAGATGGAGAGAATACCAATGATAATCACACATATGAGGAAATACATTTTCCTGCTGGTGGGAAGCACAGACAGAAAAGGAAAGCTCCACAGAGGCCAAGTGAAAACAATTCTAAAGTAAGTGAAATCCAAAGTGCTGAGAGAAAGGGAAGTAATGAAGAGGACAATTTCTGCAGCATTTACAGCAACCCTGATTCACTTGCCAGTGAGGTGACAATAGAGAAGAGCAACAGTCCCATATATTCCGGCTGTAAAGTCACTATACCTGTGGTAAACAACATGGGTCTCGACCACCAGGAAACCACTGCAGGATTTGATCAAGATACACTGGAAAAAAGAGGCAAAAAAGTTGATCGCAATGGCAGTTTCATACAAGACTCTTTAGAAAGACCAAAGACTAAAAAGCGCAACAACAATAAGAATGAAAATACTGATGGAACTAAAACACAAAGAAAAATGTGTCTTCCCAGCGAAACATTTCAAAATCCTGACAAAAGTCTGCTAGACATCTATGAGTCACGTAGTAGTACTCGCAGCTTAAGAAGTTCGAGAAATGAATCTCCTGAGAGAACTTGCTCTCCTGTTAGAGTTTCCAATCCTCCATCACCAATCAAAATCGGTTCATTCTACCTTAATAATATTAGCAGCAGTATGAATAGCACTAACAACATTATTGGTAACAATAATGATACACAGAAAAAGTACATAACTTTCAAGGATTATCAAGAAATGCGCTTCCAGCAAGGTTCATTTGATTCCGATATTAGCAGCAGTCCGCTTCCAGTCACTGGTACCAGCATTAATTTCAACTTCTGTAGCTCGAGTCCTTTAAATAAAGACCAAAAGGACATAAGACCCCCGCTACCCCCTAAGCAGACACGCACTCATGAGACCACGGGTAACTCCTCTCCAAATTTACCTCCCAAAAGCCGAAATATTCCTCCACCTCTACCTCTAAAGGCAAACAAAAAGTCTGATTTCCCGGTTTCTGAAACTGATCGTCCAAAACTTCCTGAAAAATCACGCAAAAAGTCCACCAGAGATATTCCTCTTTCGCCATCCCCAAGCGGGAGTTCAATTCCAGAACTGACAGAAGAGGAAGCTCGCTCCATCCTTCACGGACTCCTTGCTCACACGGTACAAGATCCTCACAGGCTCTCACCTCTGCACGAAGAAGATGATATTGAGAATAATTTTTTAGGGGTAGGGAACACTGCCGCAGACTCTGATTCTCGGGCAAGTGTTCCCTGCCTCGATGCATACTCCTCGGGTTCCCTAGAAACACCTATTTCTTCGTCGTCGTCTTCTCCTAGATGTGATATAATTGAGCAAGAAAGAAAGGCCGTCGGTGAAGGTATGGACACCAATTTATACCTAAAAAATCTGAATATAGAGGAGAGATTGGATGACCCAGGATCTCCCGGAAGTGACGCCCGGGTAAGTGGCCAGTTTATACTTTCAACAATTGGTCGTTCACTCTCACTGCGTCGGCAACCATCTCTCAATAGAGAGCAAACTAACGGGTTCTTAGCAAAGCTGAGAAACATTAATGACGTCAACACTGACAATGAAGCCGTATCTAAAGGAATGGAGGTTGCATTGGCTCTGAATGCTAAATCCGATCTAGAGCAGCATTTTAAGGATAAAAGCGGCGCTGATAGCATTAAACGAACATGGAGGAAAATAATAGAAAAAGTCGATGACTCTAAGGAAGAAAATGATAAAATTTCTATCATGAAGTTTCAACAATACATGGTGAGCCTAGACCGGAAGGAGAGGGAGAAAAAACTCAAGCAGGAAGACTCGGGATACCACAGTACCGACTCCAGCGAGTCAGCCAACAGTCGCACCAGTCAAACCTCTGTGTTGTCGACGGCCATCTCGTCAGCCTCCACCTCGGTTCCATCACTGACACCTGGACTTACAGGCAAGCATCAGCCACGGCATAACAACAGTCTGAACAGACCACATTTTTTACAACGTTCTACATCCATGTATCAGTTGAACTCATTTGTCTCGCCCGAACCATCTTCATGCTACTGGTCGGGGAGTTTCCAGCGGGCAAGTCTTCGGGCTTCGCTTAGTCGTCGGTTCAACCAGGCAGAAACATCAGGTGGCCTCTCTGTTTATATCAACAACTGCTTTACACCTGATGACGATGTACATGTCAGTTTTCCCCTGTGATACCACATTAAATATTTACTAACAACGAGTTAAATTTCTGTACAGTATATTAAACTCTCTTCCCTTAGGCTGTAACACAGTTGTTGCAGGACGAAGTAATACAATACTAACAAGTATAAAGACGAAGGTACAAGTTACAGAACAAGCCTTGACGGGTACAGTGTTCTGCTCTGTAATGTGTTAATTGTAACCTCTGTATGATAAAGCTCTACACAGAGCGAAGATTGAAAGCAAAGATTGAAAGGTGATTTAATACACTAATTAAGAATAAAAGTCAACAACAGTCTTTATTATTATTATTATTATTATTATCATTATTGCATTCAAAGGAAACGCTAAAACCATAGGGGGTCTGCCTGGCAAGCAATCTATTTTAGTTTATGGAAGGAGAGATAAGATATAATTCCTTGGATCAAGAGCCCCTCACCAGCTCCAAGGAGCCTTCTTTAAGGGGAATATAATATCAGACATGATATATAACACTGATTTACAACTATAGCTATGATAGGTACACTGTTGTGAGCCTACTATTACAAGCTCACAATTTCAGTCAAACGAATCGAAATATTTTCCCGCAAATGTGAGTAATACCATTTATATATTTAAAATATGCTGGACAAATACTTTCCCTCTCATTCGTGACATTCAATTTTTACGCCTTAAAACATTCCATGATCTGCTAGGCTATCAAATTTTTGAAAAAAAACTTCATGTTACAGAAAGTCTGTCACGGGTCTGAAAGTGACCAAGTTGGTAATTTTATGATACTGTAAAATTAACAAAAGGAAATCACATTAACTTCGTCTGTAAATAACCAAAATGTAATATTTTTTTTAATTAGATTAGGTTCACGCCCTGGTGTTTCAAGAAAAAGGCCGAATTTGAATTACTAGTCTGATTTCAAATTTACTTCTCTGAATATGCAGGAATAGTATACAGTAACTACAAGAACAATTAGACAAGTGCAACATTTGGGTATCTTTGAAGATTGAGACACTTATGCAGCATATGGAAATCTTTATTCAGGAAACGTTTCGCCACACAGTGGCTTCACTTCATCACATTTGGGTATCTTTATTTATAGACGTTTCGCCATCTCTGAATTTGTTTTGATAAAGTCACTGGATGGAGAAACGTATACACATAAAAATACCCAGATGTTGCACCTGTGTCTAGTTCATCAGCTTCTCTGAATCAACACTGATTACCTCCTCTTCCCCCACCCACTGTGTAATCCCTACGGATTTATCGCTTCCCGGTGAAAATAATAACAATGATAATAGTAATAATAATCTATGTAATGTAAGAGGCCCAAGACTAAGTGATATGTTGTCACACACAACCCATACTTAGACTCACCTGTGGTGATGTGTACCACTGATGTTCCTTCCTGACTTACTGCTCCTCATGGCTCTCTCTTCGAGGTAAAAAAAATAAAGCTACCTTCCTCTTTCTTGGATCAAATCTGATAACTTCCCAGTGTTTCCGAGCGTTACATGACACTTACGGGTTTAGTGCTTTCCCATGAACGTAATGCAAATTCTACCGATGCTCTGACGCACCCACCGAACCTCGGCAAAATTCTGCTTTAATTTGCCCATAATAATGTTCAATATTGAACGTGTTTATTTTTCACATAACTCACTCGTAAGACATTTACTGTAACTTTATGAAGTTAAGAAATGTGAGAATTAACTTTCATATTTTTAGCTTGGTAAATATTTTATAAGTTTTCTTTTTTTTTTCTTTTATTCTTTGAACTGCAGTGTAAAACAGAGGCGACTTTTTTAATAGATGACGTTTTACATTAAATATACAGTGTTTGACATTAAACAGAGAGTGTTTTACATTAAAAGACTTTTCCTCACTAAATAAACGACTTTACATTAAACAGATGACACCTCCTTCTAATTACTACTATTCCTGCACAATAAACAGTTCTTTCCACTAAACAAATCGATTGTGTCCCACTAAACAGACAATTCTTTCCACTAAACAGACGACAATTTGGACTAAAGAGTTTTATCACCTTTGTGACTATTTTCATGCGAGTTATTTTGTAGAATTTTCATAACTTGAATTTCTGTAGTCAGTACCGTGGATAATTCATCCCTTAGTGCTTTGGTCTGTTGTTGCTTCAGTCATTGTCTTGGTCTGTTGTTGCTTCAGTCATTGTCTTGGTCTGTTGTTGCTCCAGTCAGTGTCTTGGTCTGTTGTTGCTCCAGTCAGTGTCTTGGTCTGTTGTTGCTCCAGTCAGTGTCTTGGTCTGTTGTTGCTCCAGCTAGTGTCTTGGTCTGTTGTTGCTCCAGCTAGTGTCTTGGTCTGTTGTTGCTCCAGCTAGTGTCTTGGTCTGTTGTTGCTCCAGTCATTGTCTTGGTCTGTTGTTGCTTCTGTCACTGTCTTGGTCTGTTGTTGCTCCAGTCAGTGTCTTGGTCTGTTGTTGCTCCAGTCAGTGTCTTGGTCTGTTGTTGCTCCAGTCAGTGTCTTGGTCTGTTGTTGCTCCAGTCAGTGTCTTGGTCTGTTGTTGCTCCAGTCAGTGTCTTCTTCGACTCATCCCTCAGTCAGTACCTTAATCTGTCGAACCTCCAGACAGTGCCTTAGTCTATTCATCCCCTAGTCAGTGGCCTGGATTGTTCATGCTCCAGTCAAGGCCCTGGTCTGTTCATGCTGCAGTCAAGGCCCTGGTCTGTTCATGCTGCAGTCAAGGCCCTGGTCTGTTCATGCTCCAGTCAAGGCCCTGGTCTGTTCATGCTCCAGTCAAGGCCCTGGTCTGTTCATGCTGCAGTCAAGGCCCTGGTCTGTTTATGCTTCAGTCAGTGCTTTGGTTTGTTATCCTCCAGTTCCCTGGTTTATCCTGCAGTCGGTGCCCTCGTTCATTATCCTACAGTCAATTCCCGGGTTTGTTCATCTTTCAGTCAGTGCCCTCGTTAATCTTCCAGTTAGTTCCCTGGTTTGTTCACCTTCCAGTTATTGCTCGTCTTTTTTATTTCTTTATACCTTTCAAGGTGTGCCCAGCTAGTAGGTCAACTTAGTCATCACAAAACCATAACCAAACTCCCACAACAATGCTGAATTAGATGACAAAAATGCCTGGAACAGGAGTTGCAACATCATTTCTCTTAAATACTTTTAATTACCAAGTTATAACTTGATAAACTTATGACTTATGGAACGCGTTGTTGTAATGAAATTTAACACTGTTTTATGCGTCTGTCATTGATATGTCGGCTCGTTGCTTCCTCTACAAATACTGAGCCAACACAGTGTATCAGACTTGCTCCTTTTTTTAAGATCCCGAGTGTCAAGTGAGCGTAAAATAAATCAGAATCTTTCGCCAATGTGCTTGCTGGGAGGGTCTGGATGGAGCCACCTCGCAGTAGTCATATGCCAGAGATAAATACTTTGCATAATTATGACCGCTTTATCCCTCCTGTCACTCAGGGTGGACGTAGTTTTGTTGATATACCGTAACAAGGATCCTCAACTGACGTTGCACATGTACAATGTCCTTATTGTTTTATAGTTGTTCAGGACATTATCCTCATTATTGACAAACCATGAACTCAGATTTAGGTAAGACACATATGCAACAGTTAGACAACTTTATTCCGAAACGTTTCGCCTACACAGTAGGCTTCTTCAGTCGAATACAGAAAGTAGGCAGGAACAGTAGAGATGTGAAGACGATGTAATCAGTCCATCACCCTTGTAGTCGTAGAATTTGAGGTTGTCAGTCCCTCGGCCTGGAGAAGTTCAGTTCCATAGTCAGGAACTATCTGAAGATCAAGCGACAGTGCGGAGACTTAAATACTGTCGGAAGGAGAGGTGAAGAGTAGTAGTAGTAGTAGTAGTAGTGAGAATGTAGCCACTGATAGGTCATGTCCCTCTCAGATCCCACACTTCTCACTTGAAAAGCTTGTCCAAGGTGTTTTCTGTACCAAGATGCCATGTGTTGCAGTGTCTGACAAGATGAACATCAAAATGGTATACAATACCGACAGGTTGTTAGGTAAGACACATATGCAACAGTTAGACAACTTTATTCCGAAACGTTTCGCCTACACAGTAGGCTTCTTCAGTCGAATACAGAAAGTAGGCAGGAACAGTAGAGATGTGAAGACGATGTAATCAGTCCATCACCCTTGTAGTCGTAGAATTTGAGGTTGTCAGTCCCTCGGCCTGGGGAAGTTCAGTTCCATAGTCAGGAACTATCTGAAGATCAAGCGACAGTGCGGAGACTTAAATACTGTCGGAAGGAGAGGTGCAGAATAGTAGTAGTAGTAGTGAGAATGTAGCCACTGATAGGTCATGTCCCTCTCAGATCCCACACTTCTCACTTGAAAAGCTTGTCCAAGGTGTTTTCTGTACCAAGATGCCATGTGTTGCAGTGTCTGACAAGATGAACATCAAAATGGTATACAATACCGACAGGTTGTTAGGTAAGACACATATGCAACAGTTAGACAACTTTATTCCGAAACGTTTCGCCTACACAGTAGGCTTCTTCAGTCGAATACAGAAAGTAGGCAGGAACAGTAGAGATGTGTAAGACGATGTAATCAGTCCATCACCCTTGTAGTCGTAGAATTTGAGTTGTCAGTCCCTCGGCCTGGAGAAGTTCAGTTCCATAGTCAGGAACTATCTGAAGAATCAAGCGACAGTGCGGAGACTTAAATACTGTCGGAAGGAGAGGTGAAGAGTAGTAGTAGTAGTAGTAGTAGTGAGAATGTAGCCACTGATAGGTCATGTCCCTCTCAGATCCCACACCTTCTCACTTGAAAAGCTTGTCCAAGGTGTTTTCTGTACCAAGATGCCATGTGTTGCAGTGTCTGACAAGATGAACAATCAAAATGGTATACAATACCGACAGGTTGTTAGGTAAGACACATATGCAACAGTTAGACAACTTTATTCCGAAACGTTTCGCCTACACAGTAGGCTTCTTCAGTCGAATACAGATAGTTCCTGACTATGGAACTGAACTTCTCCAGGCCGAGGGACTGACAACCTCAAATTCTACGACTACAAGGGTGATGGACTGATTACATCGTCTTCACATCTCTACTGTTCCTGCCTACTTTCTGTATTCGACTGAAGAAGCCTACTGTGTAGGCGAAACGTTTCGGAATAAAGTTGTCTAACTGTTGCATATGTGTCTTACCTAACAACCTGTCGGTATTGTATACCATTTTGATGTTCATCTTGTCAGACACTGCAACACATGGCATCTTGGTACAGAAAACACCTTGGACAAGCTTTTCAAGTGAGAAGTGTGGGATCTGAGAGGGACATGACCTATCAGTGGCTACATTCTCACTACTACTACTACTACTACTACTCTTCACCTCTCCTTCCGACAGTATTTAAGTCTCCGCACTGTCGCTTGATCTTCAGATAGTTCCTGACTATGGAACTGAACTTCTCCAGGCCGAGGGACTGACAACCTCAAATTCTACGACTACAAGGGTGATGGACTGATTACATCGTCTTCACATCTCTACTGTTCCTGCCTACTTTCTGTATTCGACTGAAGAAGCCTACTGTGTAGGCGAAACGTTTCGGAATAAAGTTGTCTAACTGTTGCATATGTGTCTTACCTAACAACCTGTCGGTATTGTATACCATTTTGATGTTCAACTCAGATTTAAAATATTAAATAATTCTGTATATTTTAAGGAATATATTTTTATGTATGTACTTATGTATGTATGTGAATAATAAATATATTGTATATATTGTAGTTACTGGTACACGAATAATAAATTTTATTAACTTTATTTGCTCGTTTATTTTATAATCACAAAGAAATCACCTAACTCTGAGACTTCTTTGCACAAAGATGCTTTAAAATTTGAGTTATAACTAATACGTTTGATTTTTTATATGAGAAGTAAATACTAAAGAAATGTATCACAGACACACAAGTCTATGCTGTTCATGCCCCTCAAGGAAGGTTCCTTGATGTTGGTGAGGGGCTCTTGATTTAGGGAATTGGATCTGTGCTCCAGTTCCCCGAATTAAGCCTGAATGCCTTCCACATCCCCCCCCCCCCCAGGCGCTGTATAATCCTCCGGGTTTAGCGCTTCCCCCTTGATTGTAATAATAATAATATGCTGTTCATGGTAATATCTTCACCCAAATACACTGGGTTCAGCTGGTGTTGTGAATACAACAACAACAGCAACAATCGCCACCACAACAACCACTACAGAAATGGCGAAAACAAGAAGTTTAGGTAAATAAACGATGGGTGAAAACAGCCAGGTTTCAAAATTTAATAATAATAATATATCTTTATTTCTACAAGTACATATACAAGGTATACAGATGATAGCTGACATCAATGACATACTACTATATAAAAAGCCACTTTAGGTCAATTTTGTCCCAGGATGCGACCCACACCAGTCGACTAACACCCAGGTACCCATTTTATACTGTTTAGTGAGCACGGACAACAGGATTCTTATGGAAACACGTTTTAATGTTTTTTTCCAGCCGTACCGGAGGAGTCTCGAACTCCGGACCTCAGTGTGTGAGGCGAGTGTGCTAGCGATCGAGCTACGAGACACCTAATTTGACATTATGAGTCATAGTAAGTTAAGAAAGTGTTTCCTACGAGTAGACTTGCAGCAGTTAATAGACTAAGAACCTTCAGAATCTTCAGGCAGAGAGTTATTTTGGGGCACTTTTAAATGCATTAGGATTTTACTCAGACCGATTCTGATACTGAGGATCATACCAACGAGTTCTGTTGCAGGTATCCAGGAAGAGTTTCAGAACAGACTATTTATATGTATTGACTGTCCCGTAAATATAGTAAACACAGTAGTATGAGTGAATGCTTTGTATTTTGAGTAATATCAACCCTTTGAAAATCTGGGGTGAATGATGTTTGGAATTTGCTTGAGTGATCATCCGTGTAGTAACTTTTATTGAGTAATTATTGGCTTTATGCGATTTGTCGCAGTAGATTCTCAGGCGTAAATACTATAGGTGAAGCATATAGTAACATATCTTAGAAAAAAAAATTAAACACTGTTTTGAAAACCTTCTTGGATATGTGTTGGAAGTGAGTGTCGAATTTTATGTTGCTATCAAGGTATAACTCTAAAAAATTTCCCACATTTTGCCTTACAGTGAACGAATTGTTGATCATTTTAATGAGTTGTACATCTATA